TTTAAAACTAAAGGGTTAACGGAAACGTTTACGACTTAACTACCGAATTTTATTAACGACTTAAAAACGTAAANNCGTTTAAACAACCGAAAAAAAGTTCTAAACTTAAATTTACTTAGTTTTACGTNTAAACGTTTTATACGTTTAACGTTTACTTTAACTTGACCTTTATACGTACTAATGTCATTTCACTTTTCTTTGTACTAGTACGAAGTTAGTAGTTTCTAGGTAGTCTGTCTATACTTACTTTTAGTTTATTGTATATCTATTTGTGTTCTTATTTATTTATATTTTAGGTCGAAATACATTTAGCTTCTATAATACTACGCAAAACTTTATGTACTGTTTTACTAGGTAACTAGTCATTTTTTTTAGGTATAAAATTTACCTTTCCTTTTAAAACGTATTTTATAAGTCCATTATTCGTATCATTATTTCTCTCTATTAATCAAGATCAGTCAAATATAGCATATTATAAAATGGAAAGAACAGAATAATTACTTTCCATAAGATCACAACTAAATATCCCGCCACCCTAGTGAAACACTGTGATATATTCTCGTGACATTTTCCCCTTATTAGGAATCTGCTCGCGATCCCCAGTTATTGTCTTGCTCTCCCATTTATGTTTAAAAAAATTCAATTCGTGATCTTCGTCATATGCTAGTTGGGTCGTGAAAACGCTTTAGCCCACCAACATGAATATATTAATCATTTAGTAATTTGTTTTCTTCTTCTTCAAATCTTTCGTCACCATATTAACTCTGATCCAGCACCAACCTAAACACACTGCCATTTCTGATGAGTCAAAGTGCATTTAATGTCATCTGGGTTTGATCTGAAAAGCTACCTGAAGGGACCGTTGACTTTGGATTCAGTGTTGCCTTAAGTGATTGAATCATTGTTGTTTTTTTGGGAATTCTGGTGTTATGGAGTCTTATAAGAGATGGATTAGGAGGAATAAAGATTTTGTCCGTTATTTCGATTCTCTTGTCAATGTAAGCCCCTTTTAGTTATCAATGTTTTTTTTTTCTGTATATATTTGGCTTATTTTATAAAGATTACGGTGCTTTGGATTTTGTTAAAATACCTTCTACTTGTTTATGGTGTAAAAATTGTAGTGTAGATGACGAATTCAATTTTGTGTTCTAAGCTAAAATGTTTCTTTTGATCATTTCCTGTTTTTTAGATAAGTTAATGGTACTGTATGTAGGAAAATTTCCCCTTACAAACAATTTTACGATTAATTATGCGTGTTCAAAACTTCAACATTGAGATTCCATAACTTGCTACCTAAATGGGATCTTTTCCCTCTCAAAGTTTGTACCTTTCATTGGTTTGTGCTTTTCTGAGCTTAGCCAAAAAGGATAACACATTTCTCAGCAGTTTGGGTTTCTGTTGAAATACCAGGCAGTCAAGATAGAGTTAGTTTGAAATGGTTACTTAGAGTGTTTCATTTCATTATGTTGGTTATCAAATTCTCGTGAATAAGATTTAATGTTTGTGGCTGGCTGTAAATACACTAAAACTTATCTTGTAGTATCATTTATTCTTGAAGCTGTAATTGTAATCATCAAAAATTGGTGGTCGCATTGTTGAAAAATCTCATCTGAGGAACTAGTACATAGTGTGTCAATCACCACAAAATTTTTAATTTTTCATGAATCACCACAAATTTTAGCTCTTGGCGCCCTGCACCAGGATAAGGGGGTACTTGAATATTAATCACAATTCATTTGTGTTGTAGCTCTTATGAGTATGAATCACAATTTAGTGAAAAACGGAGAGAGAGGAATGGCCGTACAAGCACAGAACAATCTTCCCAGTGTGCTTGCAATGCCCGCTTCATCTTTTTTTTCCCTTGTTACTCTAAGGAGTTCCTTGTTTGCTCAAGGCAGACATTTGCCAACGATATTGTCCTCATGCCACTACTTTTGCATTCAAACTTGGATGGAAGGTGACACTGCTTCAGATGTTACATTGCCAAATTTACAAGAGATATTATAGTTTTGTTGTTCTCCCTTATATTGTCAATGGATTTCCAGTTGTGTTCATATCCTTTCATTGTTAAAAATTATTTATATTACTTCTTCCTTCAAATACTGGACTTACTGGCTGTTGCATGCATGGCTTCCCTCATACTTGACCGAGATAAAATATGGTTATCAACAGGATGAGTATATATTAATAACTGTTTCCTCATCTTGTTGTGAATGTTCAGAATTTGACGTGGTTCCTCCCAGATGAGTTTGCTGAATCAGAAATCGGGCCGGAAGCAGGTTTTGTGAAATTTTGGTAACAGTAATCTTTTTGCTGCTTTTAGAACAGTCAGAATATCTTTCTAAACTCATTTCTTCTATGTTGAATTTAGGATCACCCTTTTCCATCTTGGTTTCATTATGTCAAAGGTTGCTACTTTAAATTGACTTAATGGCTTTATTACAAAAGTTTTCCTTGCTTAATATCTCATTTTCCTTTGGGCTATACCTAATGAGAAAAATGAATAAGGATTTACTTGAAAGGAAAAAAAGACTTTCATTTAGCAGTTTTACTTTGCTACCTATGTTTGTTGTCCTGAACTGTGTGTTCTTTGCAGTATCATCCATCGTAGGAATGATTACTACTATGAATGAATACATAATAGAGACAAGTCCAACCGATGTGCATGCGAGATGTACAGAGTCTTCTTTTATTCCTTTATCATTGTGCCTTACTTTGCTGAAAGACTTGGAGACAACGATTGAGGTTGTGGCTGAGCAACTTTATGGTGAAAAGAACAAATGGAATCTGATTGCCATCACTGAGGCTGTCAAGTTAGTGTCCAAGCTAAATTATTCATACTCTCCAAAAGATTCATTTGGTATTTTATGACTAAATATTTGCACTATTATTTGACGTCTTCAGGGCTTGTATTAGGCTGGTTATCTTCAGGAAGTCTGGGTACAAAATGCTTTTGCAAGGAGGGGAGACTGAAATTGCAGAAAATGATTCTGATTCTTTAAGTCCCCAAGAAACGAAGAGGAGGCTTGATAAGCCTAGGGGGAATGGAGAGTATGGTATCTCAAACGGTCAGAACCCTGGGAATCTTCAAGGCAGGGCAATATCCGCTTTGAGCAGTTTTGGCAAGAATGCTATAATGCAGCACCCTCAGGCAATAATGGAACCTCAAAGTAATTGTCGTTAGCTCTGGGCTAAATTCAGGTGATCTGATTGTATTTCTCACTTGTCTGTTAGTAATATTTTTTCAAATATTTTTATAGGTAAACTAGTTGAGAAGCCTAGTCTACGGACTTTCTTATCTGAGAAAGGTATTCCTGGAGGATTCTATGTGGCGGGGGAGATTTTGTTCATCATAAGGCCTTTTATTTATGTACTATTGATGAGGAAATATGGGAAGCGGTCGTGGTTTCCCTGGTGCACGTCACTGGCTGTGGACCTAATTGGAAATAGCATTCTCTCAGTTACATTGATGTCTCAACATAGCGAGAAGAACCAGCAGCTTCAATTTTCTGGATCTGAGAAAGACGAGGTTAGGATACTTCAAAATTTCAACGATCTTCTTTCTCCTCTTATGGAATCTAAGTTCGCTTGTACTGACCCTAGATTTTGTCTCCAGCCATACCCTTCTCACGTATACGCTAACATGACAGTTGATGCCTCCTTGAATGAACAGCATTTGTTCTTTAACGTATTCTCATTTTTTCCCCCGGTTGGATCTTATTCTATACTCTGGTTGTGTGCCTTGAATGTAGTTCCTTCTTGAACTGGACTGTGCCTTATTTCTATCTTAATTATATCAGTGTCTTGTATGTCTCCTTCTCTGGCTTCTTTAATACACTCCACCCCCAGGGCGCACTTTTTTGCGTGGAATCCAGTAATTTACCAACTATTGTAATGAATCCTGTTAAATTCTTTTCTATTTGCTGAAATAAAATGATTTTGTTAAACATTATATGCAGTTAAAAAGGCGAAGAATGTTATGGGCGTTGTACCTAATGCGAGATCCACTTTTTACCAAGCATACCAGGTAATTGTGTTCTTTGTTATTACATATGCTTCATATAGTTATGATATTACTAACTAATCCCTTCAGATAGAATTTGGAATAAAGTAGAACAATGCTAACGCCATCAGTTATTGCAGGAAAAGACTTGAAAGCACTCAAAGGCTAGTGCAACCTGTTCCCATTGTTGGATTTGTTGCAGGTATGTTTGAAAATATTCGTGTTCAGTTTTTGCCTTCTATTTTCGCTATATTTTGACAATGGCTTATCTTGAAATGCAGAGAAATTAATTGAAATTCTTATTGGAGTCCAGACGCGTTACACATACATATCTGGTTCATAACAGGAAGCTATCAGGAGATTCTTGTTTTATTTGCAGCCTCTACATTAATATTTGCAATTTCCTTTTCTTGGGGATTTGGTATTGAGGCGTAGTTGATTGATTTTCTTTACTTGGGGGAGGTTTTGGAGGACTTCTACTATACATCTGCGTTGTCTTGGTGGGCTTCAGTCTCTTTCTTTCCCCACCCCACCCCACCTGACTCAATGTATGTTCCAAAATATTTCAAGTATATTAAACGTTTATCAAAAGTTATTAGAGAAATCAATGATTCAACTACTGAATCTATGCCTTGAATGTAAAGATCAAAACTTCCTAATAGTGAAGCTTTATCTAAACGCTCGAACTGAAATACTCACGTAATTGGGATAGTACTCTTTTTAAGAGGTCAGACCAATAAAAATAGATTCTAACAAGTGCCATCTCGAAAAAAAGGCAGAGATTCTCACAAGTAATATGTATTGGAGTTAAAATACAGTGGAGATCCAATAAACTACTACCCCCTCTGGTTCACAATAAGTGTCCAATTTGCTTTTAGCACGCCCATTAAGAAAATACTAAATTCTATACAAAAATACCTACTATGACTAAACTACCCCTAATTAAACATTTAATGTGAGGAGTAAGAAAACTTTTTAGAGATATGTACATAGGAGTTATTTTGTAAAAACAAATTGAATTCTTTCTTGATTACATAACTGGACACTTATTTTGAACCAAAATGAAAAAACAAATTGGACACTTATTGTGAACCGGAGAAAGTAATCATTTAGGACATAAGAAACTAGCAGTGGGGTTTCATAGAAAGCTTCAAGGGAAATTTGAGACTTTTTTTTCTTCCTTTTTTTGGTTAAAGAAACAAAGAAATATTGCTTTTATATCAAATCAAAACATCTAGAAAGCACAAACACAATCAAAATGTATTTACTGTGTCGAATCAGACAAAACCAAATCATAAATTCAAGATATCCATCCGGCTTCCTTTTCAAAAAAAAACAATTCACAATGGCAAGCTAACTTACGAATATTAGTATATTACCGTTTCAACAGTTTCATTTTTCATAGTGTGGTTTTTTAGAGAGACAGTATTACTCAGTCTAAGACGTTAATATGTTCCTTTTTTCTATAATCTGTTTCATCTTTCGCCATTTTCAGAAGGTAAATATCATTTAACTGTTCAACTTTTTACTATATTCTCTTTCATCTTTATGCTATTTTTCGAGAGGTAAAATTATTAGTTACCTTTTTTTTAACTTTACCTACTAGGTTGGATTTAACAATGTGGAAGTCTGATACAAAGCTCTATAAACTGCGCTAATAGGTTATGATATTTGATTCTACGCACACGTGAAATAATTTTTCCCTGCGAATTCAGATCACAGTGATGAAGGTTGAGAGCTAAAACTAGTACCAGCTGGAGGCCAAACCAAAATGACCTCTACCACCTTTTTGCAGGGATTGTGAGAAAATTCACGTAGTGTTTGGCCAAGCTTTTGGAAGGAAAAAAAATGCTTTTGAGGAGAAGTAGAAGCAGTTTTGGAGAAGCAGAAAAAAGTAGCTTCTCTCCAAAATCACTTTTTTGAGAAGCAATTTTGTGAAAAAAAAACTTAGAAGCAGTTTTTTAAAGCTTGACCAAACACTAATTGCCGCTCAGAAGTGCTTTTCAAACTAATTACCCAAACACAAACTGCTTCTCACCAAAAGTACTTTTGAGAAAAGCACTTTTGAAAAAAAACACTTCTCAAAATAAGCTGATTTTTGCAGGTTGGCCAAACGGGCTATCAGTCCCCTGTACTTAGGAACTGCCCCAAAACTAGCATGAGCTAGTTGGGGTCTACTATCTACTACAACAAAATTATGATTTCCGACAAGAACTACTACAACACAACAATTCTGAGCTCCATACTCTCCACATAGCCATTCAGAATTCCAGGCTTCTATTAAGGTTCGGGCACTAACACCAAAAATGAGAACGCCACGGTATCTTTCAATGACATAAGATCAAAATAGCTATATTGAACAAAGAGCTGAATGTTTGAAATAAACCTATAATTTCAGTGTCTGCCTGAGCAACGTTTTCCAAGAAAACTTAGGTTCTAACAAAATCTGTAAGTAGACAAGAAACTTCCTAAAATACGCTCAAGGGGTACAGCTGGAAAATGAGATACTTCGTTCACTGAATTCTTTGTATTCTTCTAATCGAAGAGACTGAAGCCCATGTCCTGTAAAAGAAATTCCAGGAAAACACAAAAGCAGATGAGAGGAATTGAAAGTAAAAGGAAACACTGACCAATAGAAAAACAACGAATTCTTAAAAACAGGAGAGTATTCATACATCGTCTGACTCCTCTTTCTCTTCCACTTTCTTTTCTTCCTTCTTCTCCACAGCAGCAGGTGCAGCAGCAGCGCCACCTGTAGGTGCAGCAACTGCAACAGCACCACCACCGGCAGGTACTGAAGCCAACTTTTCTCTGCCAGCGGCAATCAGCTCAGTGATATCTTTGCCCTCAACTTGAGAGAGCAGCAGTTCAATCCTATCATCATCAGCCTCAGCCCCAACTGCAGCATGCATGTACTCCAAATATGAATTCGAATTGAACAACCACCACACACCAACAGAAGCATATGAAAGTATATCACAGTTAAGCATAACAAGCCAACATCATATACCATGTCACATCAACTACATTACACGTTATCAGTATTAACCGCTCAAGACATTTCAAAAATCAATGCAATCTGGATTTCACTTGTTCAGTACCATCAACTGCATTACAAATCATCAATTTAAGACACTTCATAGAGAATACAACCTAGAACTACATTCAGCAGCATCAACTGAATTAGATAGCATTAATTTAAGACAATTCAACGAAAACTTGAAAGCAAAATCAATTATTGCATTGTTCCTTATGCAAGAAAAGCAACGATTAGAGTACTCCTACCTCTGGACAGCTCAGGCAGGTAAGGCAACAGGATAAAAATTAATTCTCATTGTTACATGTTAATAGCAGTAAATAGGCATCGTCCTTGCTCCATTTCTTTTGAATACCATGGAAACAAAAAGAAAACAACAAAAGGTAATGAAACCGAGATTTCACCCCATTTATTCACAATTCTAATAACCACTTGAAATTTTTCATTAAACCTGAACAGCAGGCAAAGAAAGTGCTCAACATCATAAAATTCCCCAACCACTTCTTCAAAGAGGAAAGATACTACCTCCTCCCAATTTATGTGACTCTTTACATCCTAGCATGTTACCAATCCCAAAATATTTAACACTAACTCACTAATAAAAATATCCTAGTATATAACTTTCAAATCTTTCAATATTACAAACCATCCCATTATTCAAGTTTTGGAACATTTCCACGATCAAACTATTTTTCACCATTATTCTAATATTTTCTTCCACTACTCCTACTAAAATGCACGCGTCAAATTAACATATTAAGCTTAATGTCCAACCAAACTCATCGAGGGAGTTATAACTTCGTACTTCTCAGAATAGCTAGAGAAGTTTCAGCATTTAAGCTAAATTGACGAAATGCCAAAAAAAAAAAAGGGTATTACTTCAGGATACCAACCTGTATATGTATTAATTCATGTAAATACATAAACCAAATTGCATACATTTATATTTATAAATAACTATACGAATCAAATGCTATTTCAGGATCGGTATGCAAGAAAATCAATGACACGGAAAATATGTACAAGAAAGAAAAGACATTCTTCAGGAGTTATAGGGCGTACCAGATCCAAGGATGTTCTTCAAATCTTTAGCCTTAGGGCAGGAGTTGCCACCCAATACGGCCAACAAGTAAGCTGCGATTACCTTCATTTCTCTTCTCTGTTAAAAAATTAACACAAAACAAACAACATTTTCAGATACAAATAATTGGAATTAACAAAACAAGCAAATGACTGACAAAAGAAATAAGAGAGAGAGTACTCACGAGATCTCGAAGCGATGAAAACCTTCAATGGCGGTTCTTAGCTGCTGCTCTTAGGGTTTTTGAAGAAAGGGGGAAGCATAAGAATATATAGTTAGGGTTTTTCAGCATTCTATGCGGAAGTGGATTATTCTATTTTATTTGAATACCCTTGGTTATTGCTTAATTGGCCAGGAAACTATTCGCTCTCCGTTCACTTTTACTTGAGAAGGTTTATTGTGTGCCTCACACTACTGACATTAGTTGTATGAGGATCCTTTTTGTCTCATAAATTTGTGGACTCCAATCTTACACTTCTGGGTCCACAAAACTGTGAGACAAAAAAGATGCCTCATACAACTAATGTCAGTTGTATGAGATACAAAATAAAATTTTCCCTTTTACTTGACACACTTTGACTTTTCACACCCCTTAAGAAATAAAGTGCATAATTTACCATGATACTCCATATTAATTGATGCATATTTTATTGGATTTGAGAAAATGATTTGAAATGAGTAATAAATACTGTGGGTATAACAGGAAAAAAAAATTGTTTTCATTTGATATGCGTAAAGTGACAAATAAAAATGAAAATCTATTTTTAGTGAACGGATGGAGTATTCTTATGTTTTTCTTTATCCATCCAGAAGAGGAGGGAAGAGGGGCAATGGTAATATAGTCCAATTTTGATTGATACTACTAAACTAGTATAAGTTTTGATGTGGTGCTAGAAACATATTGATTCTTGCATTTTATGAAATTTCCATAAATGTTATAAATATAATTGTATTTATGGTGAATGTCTATATTTAGAGAGATATTAGGGTTCATTGCTTGGTGGCTAAGTCACCCTCTCCCTATAAATAGAGGGTTCTATTCTATTGTAATTCATCCCAAAATTCAAATAAGAATTCTCTCTCCCTACTTTTCTCTGCAATACTCTTCTTCTTCTTTTATTATTTCATAACACGTTATCAGCACGAGACTCTAACCAATGAGTAGAAGCTTTGGGATTGAGCATAATGATTGTCAATTGTTCCATGAACTCCTTCATGATTAAATTCTGGATTTAAGGTAAGTATTTTACCGTATTTTTTTCTTTTATTCTATACTTTGTTTTTAAATACAAGCAAAGACAACAAAGTTTGATTATAACTCTAATGGAGTTTGTAAGAAATTATAACCACCTGAAGTGGTAAAATTTCTATGTCTCGCCATGATCAAATTCATGTATGATTGTGGGCAAAGAATTGAAAATTCGTCCCATTGAATTTGCTCCATTCTCATTCCCTTAAGAGAATGTGATAGCAGTATGTGATAAGTCTGAAAGAAGACAAAATTATTGCCGTAAAGGTATCAATGAATGTGGACGTGGCAATAAATGAAATTATAATCGTCATCATTGTGATAATGAGAATAATAAGGATTCTCAAAATAATCCTTCACTCTGTGAAAGTTATATTTGTCATCGATTTGACATGAGATTTTATAAAGCACATACAGATGATTATGGTCAATTCATGATGTGAATGTGACAACATCTGATTTATGAATACATATTCATTCTTGGAAGAATATGAACGTGCTAGTGGTAGTGAATATACCACACTCACCTCTAAAAGGAGGTTTGAGATGGTACAAGAAAACAATGTCATTATTATGGCATGAATGGTCATTGGTTACGTACCTATTGTACGCCAAAATATTTTGGTAATGTGATTATTAAAGAATAACAGTAATGCAAGAAACAGATCTTGCATATAATTTTGACCATAACCATAATGGTATAACTTTCTCTTTAAAAGAGATATTCACCATATGGATGTTGATGAATATGTGGTACTACAAAATTAATTGAGAACTCTGCAAGAGCTAATTACACTATTTTGGAGAAACACAATTGATTACCAATAAGGTATTGTGTTGTAGTAAGTCTCAAAGAAACTTATTCAGTTTCCAAAGTATACGCGAAAGCGGTTGATTATATTGAGACTATAAATAAAGGAAAGATTTAATATCTTCTATTACTACAACTTGTAGCGGGATAATATGTATGTGAAAAGCTACCTGCTTTATTCTCCAATTTATACTACATAAACAAAATAATACCACAATGAAGTGGATATTTATTGATATAAAAACCCATATCATAATAAACTTGGAGTTTATTGATAATTGCACACGTCATGGTGTAAATCCGAAGTTTATCAATATTGATAATTTATTCAGTTGGCATAATTGGTTTACTCATATCAATTTAAGTATGATGTGCAAAAATAAAAGAGAATTCACATGGGTAAATATTAAAGAACTTGAAAGTTCTTTACGAATTCTCCTATGTTGCCTGTTCTCATTAATTAATATACCAACTAAAATTGGAATTGAATCTCATGAATGCTGAAAATATCAAAGGTGAATATGGGCCTATTCACCAGCCATGTATACCACATAAGATGCATCTATGAGATGGTTACATGTGCGATTATTAATAACCCGCAACATGGTGTTTTGCGAGGTAACTTGCTCAATAATTTAATTTCGAGCATAATTTCCAAATTTTTTACTCAAGATAGTTTATTGATAAGTTGGTTTACATTATAGTTGGTTTAGCAAAATAATTTATTGAGTGCCTCCACTTAATAGCTAAACTATTGCTTATGAGAACAAAGTTACCTATATCAGTTTGATATAGGTTATATACGAAAATATATTACATTCTCCCCTCACAAGTGGTTCAGGGCCAGCAACCAAATAATTCCATCTTATTATTATTGATGTGCGGTGTATATTATGATTAACACCATAACGCACAAAGATGGGTTCTCAATGTTGAAGAAACAAGTTAGTTTTTCTAACATGAGGGAGAGACATGATATATGAGGATCTTAAGTCTGGTGAAACAATTTCGAATAGAATTGGTTTCATATGAAAGACATGTAGTTTTGAACATGCATGTAGTTCAAACACTTGAAAGTATAAAGTCAATGGTATGTGCAATCAGTTTTCGATATCTTATATGTCTAGCATGACATGAAAACTTGATATGCATCTAAAAGTCTATTATATGGCTTATATGACTTAACAATCCCTGAAGGATTTAAATTGCTTAAAGCATATAGAATTCTTGATCTTGAAGTACCACATCCTCAGTGCAATTTGTGCACATATGTATCTTGCTATAACTATAAGCATGATAATGTGATAGCGGGGATTTTCAAGGTGCAATATATTCGTTCAAGTTAATACGCCTGATTTGTTCATCAAATCTCTACCAAAGATCTTTTGAAGATGGTGCACAAGATTGGAATGCAAATGCTTAAGGATGTGAATTGATGCCCTCATCAGGGGAAGTTAATACGCGTTGTACTCTTTTTCCCTTACAAGGTTTTGTCCCACTGGGTTTTCCTTGCAAGGTTTTTAGCGAGGCAACCAAAAGGCGTATTGTTAGATATGTGTACTCTTTTTCCTTCTCTAGAATTTTTTTCCCATTGGGTTTTATTTTAGTAAAGGTTTTAACGAGGCACACTATCTGTTGAATAGACATTCAAGGGGGAGTGTTATAAATATAATTGTATTTATGGTGAATGTGACGACCCAAAGGGTCATCACCGGATTTTCCTCTTTTTTCGTGCTTCCGAGGCCTTGAAAACCTCATTTTTTGCTTGCCTCGATTTGCGTGCGCAGTCCGGGCGCGTAGCCGGAAAGCTTATATGTTAAATTCTGCGAAAAATTTCAAAATGTGGCTTTAAAATAAGTAAAGTTGACTTTGGTCAATATTTTTGGTAAACGGACCCGGACCCGTGATTTGGCAGTCCCGGAGGGTCCGTAGAAAAATATGAGACTCGTGCATATGCCTGGAGTCGAATTTCGAGGTCGAGAGCCCGAGAAATGAATTTTTCTGTGAAACTGTTTTTCTGAAATTATTAAGGAAAATGGAAATGAAAATTTATTAAAGACTATGGTATCGGGCTCGTATTTTGGTTCCGACGCCCGGTACAAGTCTTAAATATGTGTTAAGCGCTTTCTGTAAAGTTTGGTCGAAATCGGATGTCATTTGACATGTTTCGAACCTAAATATCTAAAATTTGAAGTTATGAAGTTTGAAATGAAAATGATGATCTTGAGGCTTGATTCAATGATTTTTGATGTTATTTTGGCGATTTGATCGCTCGAGTAAGTTCGTAGGATGTTATTGAGTTAGTGTGTGTGATTGGTTAGGAGCCCGAGGGCTCGGGAGTGAATTGGAGGTGGTTCGGGGTGTTTTTACACTTAGGAAAGGATCAGATTTTGCTGCATTTTTACACAGGCATTTTGTTCTTTGCGAACGCGGCCTCAGGCACGCGTTCGCAGTGCTTTGGTATTCCCCTCTTACGCGTTCGCGTCCTACTTCACGCGATTGCGTAGTTCTAATTCCCCCTCCTTCGCGTTCGCATGGCCCCTCACGGGTTCGCGCATAACGCGAAGGGCAATTTCTCCCAGCGAATTTTTAAGTTCAAAACAATAGCCATTACGGGCTTATTCCCAAATTTCACACGAGCTCTTCTTCCCCACACCCATAAGCGATTTTTAGAGCTATTCTTCATCAAAGCTTCTTGGGTAAGTATCATCTAACTTGTTTTCTTCAATTTCCTCTAGTAATTACTAAATTCCTAGCCCTAAATCATGAAATCAAAGTAGAAATTAGGGGTTTTGGGTAGAGTTAGGGTTTTGAGAATTTTGGGTGATTCAACCTCAATTTGGGGTCGAATCTTAAAACAAATTATATATTTGAACTCGTGGGATTATGGGTGATTGGGTTTGGGTCCGAGCCTCGTGTTTGGACCATGTGGGACCGGTGTCGAATTTTGGTATGTTTGGAAGAATGCTAGGGACTTCATTTCTAGGCTATGGGATTTTGTTCTGGAGTCTTTATTGATATTATTGAATTGATTATGCCTAGATATGGTTGTTTCGGAGTCGGATTGTAGAGGAAAGGCGGTATTTGAGAGTTGGTTGCTATTCTTGGACCGAGGTAAGTGTTTGTTCTAACTTTGGTTAGAGGTAATAGGATTAGGATATTATTTGCTAATTGCTAAATGAAGAGTACGGTGTATAGGCATGGTGACGGTTATCTATACACCGGAGTCTAGCAT